TGCTGAAAAATGACTTGGGGAAATTCTACCCAGCATGATAACATCCAAAACAAGAAAGAGCATCTCTTTCCCCACCATCAAATGTGAAAATCGGGCTGCACATGAACTGAGCCAGCCACCTTAGGACAGGTGCATACACTGCCTCACCCCTTCGACCAAATGTAAATGGGTCTCTGATGTTTGTCTTGATTTATAGATTACCTGTGTTCTTTAGCCTGTCATATTGGGACCTCGTGATTGTCTTGTGCTGATCGTCGGTGCTGAGTGAAGTCAAGCAACTGAAACCCCATTGCTGCCATGCAAACGTGAGACAGTGGACTGGAAGCTACATGGTTAGTAGCCAGTCATGTCCAATCCAATTAAAAAGACTTCAGCTGTCCCAGCATTTATTCTCCCTCTCCCATGTTTTTACCTTTTCCTCTTCTCTCATCACAACTTCTTTTTCCGATTATTGTCCTGTACTTTGGAATTACTCTCAGTTTTCAGTAGGTATATTTTTCATACAACTAGTAAGAGTTAGATGCGTGATGAAGGAAGGAAGGACAAGGGATACTTCAATGAATGTCTCTGGAGGAAATCCATGGGGAATTTTCTTAGCTGTGCAGTCCCCTGGCCCTGGGTTCCATTTTCTCTTCTTCCTAAATGAAATAAGGCTAAGTCCTTTTCCTCAAGTTCATCTCAACTAATTCTTCCAGGAAGCAAAGAAAGAAACAATGAAAATAATAAACTGCACAACCAAATTGGGTAAGCAAAAATTTCAAGCTCAGAACACAGTGATGATTTTTTTTCCTTCCATTACTTTAAACTCAATATGCACCTGCTGCTTAGTGAATGTACAGTAGGTGCCTAAGAACTGTTTGTTGAACCATAAAAATACTTTATAATTTTTAAAGTATTGAAGTCTGCTCATGGAGGTCTTGACTAACTGCCAGTTGAGGTCATTAATACAACCCCATTAGTTAGGACTTCTGAATTTCTCTACCTGTGGATATTTGTAACTTACTGCAATAAGTACTCAGAGTGCTTTTGTGGTCATTCATGGATATGTACAGAGTGGTACAAAATGGGAGTCAAATGAAGAACACATTTCCTATGAAAGTCAAAAAATGTGATGTTTTGTCTTCAGGTTTCACTTCTCACTGCAGGATGAGCATCCTTTGTGTGGTCTGCCCAGTGACGCATTTTTCAAACTTTTGTGCTCTTTGTTACTGATTTTGCCAAATAAAATGACCCCAAACACATCTCTAAAATGCTACCTAATGTTCTTAAACTGAAAAGACTCTGATGTGTATTACAGAGGAAGTATTTTTTTTCATGAGCTTTGTTACAGTTATAGTGCTATTGTCTGAGATTCCATGTTAATGAATAAACAATGCAATACACTGGAAAAAGAAAGATGAAATCTGATGATTAGTAGGAGAAACTACTTTGTAAAGTAACATCTATGCTGTGATAAATCTATGATGAAAAATAAATTTGGAGTGTCTTGAGATGATGACCGATTTTGTTCACAATGGTAGACAGTACTGTAGGAAAGTTGAAAGCCATTGAAATCTATGATCACATTAACCAGGGTCAGGAAACTGTTAAACACTACTCAGATATTTTTTAAAAGAAATACTGCATACAATGAATTACTTGTAAATATATATATTAAATAAGATTTTTAAACACAATACATAAAAACAAGGTTACATATTCATCAGCTAACATAATATTGTGAACAGAAACTCAAAGGCACCTAACCCTCTATTTATCCTAGGAGCATGGCTCAGTGCTCACTAACAGTGTTTGCAGCTGTAACTGTAGAGAACATAACTGCTGAGAATGCACCTTACTCACCTGGACCTATGTCGGCCCTGAAGAGCATCATTTTGACTGCTCATTTTTTATTCTCTCTTCAGTGATGCCCTTGGGCCATATTTCAGGTATCACCACCATGAGGTGCCTCTCAACCTTCAATGCATTGATCAATCTTCTGATGATTCTGTTAAAATGAAATTATAATTCAGGCCACAGAGTTTACATTTCTACCAAACTGCATTGTAATAAATCTGCTGTTTGACCATAAACCACACAGAATATGGAAAACCTTCATCCTTCCCTGATCTTTTAGTTTAGAGCACTTGGAACAACAGTTTCACACTAATACTTCCCTAAWTGAATAACAGAATCAGTAAGAGGCAACATTGTATTTACTCTCAGAGGCTCAGAGAAAAAAACTGTAGAATTAGGAAAGCATAAAATCTCTTGGCCAAGCAAGAATTGAAGTTGGGCACAAAATGTCTCAACTACAACGCAGGTGACACAAAGGCAGAGAATTTAACAACAATAACAACAACAAAAAACTGCAAATCTTACATAAATTCAACACAGTTTTTTTTCCAGACACTTCACCAGGGATGCAGATACTTCAAAAGCACGTGCTTTGCTCTCTGTTCTAAAAACTGAAGGAAGAAACAAAGCTTCACAACTGCCACAGAAGTGGACAGTGAAGGGCACAGTTGACATATGGGGATGCACAGATGGAGGAGAGATGGCTTCTCACTATGGATCAAGGAAGGACCCCTGGAGGAAGTGACACCTGGAATTCATCTGATGATCCATTATGTATAACCCAGAAAGGTTGCTAGGTTCCTATTCCATTCAGAGGTAAAGTCCCAGAAGCCAGTTCTGAACAGCACATCCTGCAAGATTACATTGATCATAGATTGGTAACTGAACATGAACCAGATTAATTACAAAGGTTTCAAAGACAGTTGAAGTGATGTCATCACCAAATGGTGTCCAGGTGTAGACTGAGCACCTGGGTAGCTGGGTCCTCACTTCAAAGGGACAGCACTGCAGGGAGCTTCACAGTGTGTCCTACGTGAACCAAATGAGAACAGAGAAATAACAGACCTTCATGAGGTGGAGGCGAGAACTGAGCAGAAAATGGGAATGGGGCTGAGAGGAGAAGGAAAGTGAGGAAAAAGTAAAAAAAGAAGGGAAGACCATGGGGAGGAGGGATGAACAGGACAGATGGATACAAAACTCACCAGCGTTTCCTAAACCAAAATCCAAGACCTGTCAGAAGAGCCAGGGCCACTATCACAGCCAAGAGGATCCAGCCCAGGGCACTAGGAGGTGCTGCAGATTCAAGGGGACACCAGGAATTTGTTTTCAATCCATTCCCTGTTTTACCCCATGAGCTCCCCATTTGGTGGATTAACTGTTTTCTTTGAGTTTCTACTGCACCAATCATTCCTCCTATTTTATTCTTATCCCTCTTCAGAGAGGAATCCTTCTTCTATCCTACAACTTTCTGCATTACAGATCCCTCATATTTAATTCTTCCATTCCTTTGATTAAAATATTTGTGTTCTTTTAGGTCTAAAATTCTTAATCTCCCAAATTTTTAGCTGGCCCTCAAGCTCTGCTATAGCAGACCACCTCCCCCCATCTCCAGCCTGGGTCCCACTCTTACCACCCCAGTAGAGGACGAGGTCCTGCCCTCCTAGGCTGCTGTGCTTCACCCTGCAGGCCAGGCCAGCCGCCTCCCCAGCTGCCACATCCAGAGTTGCTTGGAGATACCACGTCCCATCAGCATTGGGCAGGATGTCACCTCTCTGAGTGCCCTGCTGCTC